TGTTTATACCACCTGTTGTGGGCCGAGTCATGTCTTTTGTGGCATTGTTGGGGGTGGCGTCAATTATATACGAGCTGATTGACTTGTTTGTACCCCCAGCGATCATTCATGGAATGTACTTTTTGCTTACAATACAGTCTGTGTATTGGTTCATCTTCCTGCTGGCTGTACCATTTTTGTTGGGCCTGGTCATTGGCAGAAGACCATTAAATCATAAAATACCTGAATACTAGTAACTTTTTAACATTTAGCTTGTTTTCATAAAGTGGGCAGGGGGGTGGCTGTGGATATATATGGGAGCAGAGAAAGCCACTGCACCTTAGTCTTCTAAGAAGACCTGAGATGTATTTATTCAGTATTTATGTCTTCTAGGTCACTAACCCAAAGCCCTTTTATCCATCCCATTCAACCACTGATGTTACAAATTTGAGTTTTGGAAGTATTTGATGCCATTCTGTCAGTGCTTCTTGTAGACATACAACATTTGATTATGTCACAGAGTAACTTTCTTCTGCATGAAAATAACTGTCAAAATTATAATTTTGTATTTTGACATCTGTGCTGGCAAGTAATTGGGTGGCAGGCAGTGCTTGCTTATACTTGAATTTTTTTTTCCTGCTTGCAAATGGTGTCAAACTTTAAATTATACAATAGCAGCAGGGCTCACTGGGGAATAATAAATTCTTCATGGCAAATATGGCTTATCTGTCACAGAACTTTAAAAGTAAATTTCTGATGTGATATTTGTAGAGACATGCACTGTCTATTTAGGAATTACTAAGTGGCATAAGGAATTATATTGTGCCTTTCTCATTGCTCTTAGTTTCACAAAGCATCAAGAATGGGGATAAAAAAAGTCTTTGATCAGTTTTAGCACTGCTGTTAAAATCATAGGGAAGCAAGTAAAGTAGATTTTGGCAGTTGAAAATAACTGTAATGATCCCAGTTAGGATATTTCAATATATGTCTGGTCTAAGCATGTCTCTCTTTGTCTGTAAATCTATCAGTATTCCCTATCCATTGTACTTGCTTTTAAAAGCATCATTTCAGAGTGAAAGCATCTGAAGAGATTTCACAACCAGATTAAAATATCCATACTTTTTTAGTGTATGCCCCTGTGTGTCCAGAACAGTTCAGAGGCACATTGATAAAGATATTTTCATTAATTTGGGGACTGTCTTCTGAATTCAGAGAGGAAAAGTTTGTACTGATTGCAATAGGTTCACAGTTGTTTGTGTAATGTACACTTATTAATGGCATAACCTGAAAAAATAACTTGCTCTCTAAATTGTGTAAACAGTCTATTGCTCTTTGACTTGAATCTACTTCTAAGATTTTTTTTTCCTCTCAAAATTGTGAAATAGCAGCATTCACATAAACTTCTGTTTCTTTAGGCATTAATAAATGAGTTAGTAATTTGGTAATGCTAATCATAAATGGCTGTAATGTGAAGTGCTTGCTTTGCTAAATGATTGATGCCAGCCACATTCACAAGTCGTAGCATAGCAGCAGATGCTGCACAGGATTCTAATAGACATAATTAAAAGAAGAAAGATCAATATCATGACTTCTCTGAATGTTACTCCAAGACAAGAGTTGTGCTAAATTTAACAAATGTAGTAGATATACATGCCCTATCAGGGCTTTGTGTGCATTTTTTTTTTTTTTTTTTCACACTGAAAGAAGCAATAATGTTACAGACTGCTATATAAATTTAATTACAACAGGTCAGTT